TAGAGGAGGTAGCCATGGTTACACCTGTGCTAGCTATACTCCTAGCGGTCGCGCTGGCCTCAGTGTCCCTCGTCCTCCACAATGCCGCCCTCTCCCTAGCTTCCCTCCGCAGCCTCCTTTCCTCTCCTGGACCTAACTCTAAGAAGGTCAAAGGTCAACTGAGAGCAGTTCTACGAGTAACCCTAAGATTTTCCACTAACTCCTCCTCACTACTAGTAGCTTCACTCATGAGCTACAATGGAGTGTCTTCTAAACTAGATTCCACACTGAACCCTACCTCAGCATGACACCCAACCGAGTATGATTAACAACTATTTTTGGTCAGCCTGGAGAGAAACAGTTTAGTGGTCAATAACAACTAATGTCAGATCCTACATGGGATACTAAATCTATTTTTAGATAACTATGAAACAGATTGCACGCAGCAAAGAATACTAACTATCTGCAGCTGTCTGTTAGTTGTCAGTCAAGTCCGTAACAACTAAATAATCAAAAATAAAAATAGTGTCACCTGAAGAGATGCATGCTGGATGGAATATTTTCCTAATTAATAACTCAGCGAAACAGTTACCGGAATCCCCCCTCTCCCTGTATCCTTCTTGAGTGGTCTCTTTGTGTCAACGCCCTGAGCATCTGGTTGAGCAGCGTGTCTAAAGGTGTGCAATCCAACCCACCCCTGTGCCCCAAGTCTATGCCGAACCTGCCAGCCCCTAGACATAGTTTACCCTCGCATGCAACGAGCCTTACTTCCGGTTTGATCTGGCTGATCAAGAGACAGTTTAAGGACAGCCCCCAAGGTCCTCAGGAATTATTTAACGTCGCAGACAGGACGACAATCACAGCCAGGGTTCAACACCGAAACCCGCCAGAAATATTTAGAGACGGTCTGGTAAGCGTCTGTTCAAAGGGCTGGCATGCCCTGCATGACCTCTATTGTGCAGCAGCAGAACCAAGGACTTGCGGCAAAGCATGCGTGTACTAGTCCCAACGGGTTGGCATGGTGACCGTGACCCGAGTGCTTCGTCCAGGGCCCTTCAGAGGCTTCGCCCGTCTCCCACCAGCTTGCTGCCCGGGAAGAATGTCGACTCTCAAGGTTGAGCGCTCGCAACACCTCACATTGAGAGGACTCTCAAGACAGAACTCACTTCCTCACTGTAAGAAGTAATGAGAATGGTAGATAAGGAAGAGAGCAATGTACCTCATAATGCTGCCCCCAACCACAAATTTATCACCGGCAACCTGATGCGCATTTATGATGACCGGTCTTTGCCTCGGCACAACCAACAGCAGAATGCAGTTCCACCTCGGCTTAAATGCCACATCAGCGACCTCTCATCATCAAGCGTACACCCCTAATGTCACCACATAGCTTCCCGGTGCGCCCACACGACCCTCCTATCATTCAACGCCCAAGCCTTATCACTGCCCCACACCTCATGTGAAGCACCAATCAGCTATTGCGAAGAATCAATGAAGCGCACTTCGAACCAGCTCCGATACCAAATTGCAAGGAAAATGAGCAACAACAAGATGACAATATCCAGGATGCACAATCACATTGAAACCCAGATAGTATCACAGTGTCCAGAAAGCAGAATTGCACCAATATAACACCAACAAAGAATCGTAACACTGAAAACCAATGTCAATGAAAGCTTGCTCTCGCCATCACCAACATATGTGTCCAGGCCTATCACCCTACTTGGCGCTTGGCGCCCAGCCTACTCCCTACACAGCTACTACCAGCCTACTAATTGACAGTGCAACTGTTAACGTCAGCAGCCAACGACGTACTTGAAGATGTCGACCATAGCAGACCATCGCCAATACCAGGTAAGTGCCCTCACATCATCATCATCATCATCATCCTTCTCTCTCTCCCCTGACTTGCACCCACGTCTTCCCTCTGTACACCCGAAGACCACCCCTGCGCCTCACTGTAGTCCAATCCCATCCAGCTATGGAGGCTGGGCTTTGGCGCTGCCCTCAGCAGCGCCCTGCTTCCTGCACGACCGCATGCGCTAGCACCTTGCCTCTCAGCGCCAGCAGCAGCCTACGAGCGTCTGCTCCAGCAGCTCTGCCGCCAGCATGCAAGTGCTGAATGACTGGCCAGCCAGCAAGCTCTTTCCTATATGGAAAGAGCCTGCCTCCCTTGGCGGCCTGGCCGGCCTGGGCCTCTACCCAGAAGCTTCCGGTAGGCCCCACGAGGCTGTGCCTCCGATGCAGCTGCTGGGCCTCGTGTGGTTGGGCCTCCCAACTGTACATGTATGAGGCTGCGATTCTTGCCCAGGGCCTGCACACTCAGGAAGGCCTGGAAGGCCGTGGAATGTTTTTGCTGCTCGGCCTGTGTTTTCCTCAACCAACTGGCACGTCACAACTGCCTGGATCCCAAATACGAAATTGACAGCTGGGGGCCTCTCGTGATTTGTTAGGCCCGCCTTCATTAGGTCGGGCACATTTGCAACAGGGCCCCTTAGGCCTGCCGAGGACCCAGATCCTCGCAAAAGAAAGAAAAATAAATAAATAATAATAAAGTGAGGGAGGAGCAATCCTAGCTATTGTGGGCTATCCAATAGTGCGTTAAGGGTAATAATTGAATTCGGGATTAGATAGGGTGGGGGGGTGGGGAGGGGAATATCAGTTGGGCGCAGGGTGCGGGGGGGGGAATGCAGTGGGAGGGAGGTCGGGATTGCGTAGCAACGTGGGTAGGAGATCGCGACTGGGTGGGGAGGAGGAAGTCGGGGGAAGGAGATCGGGTTGGGAGTGCG